TTACGGGAGAGACCACAATGGCCCCGCAAGAAAGAAAGAATACACAATGAGGTTGAATTCTTTTGTGGGAATGTTTGTATCTGTGCCAATTAAGGCCTTTGATTTATAGTGGTCTATTTTTTCCTTCGGTGTGCACCATCAGCCCTCTCCCAGAAGCCTCTTACCACTTTCAGGAAGAAGAATGTGTGTGCTTCAGAAGCCGCATTGATTAGCCAGGGATCTCGAGTAAGGTCAGGGTCACTGAGAGATTCAGGGTAACTGTCACTTGGGCTGCAAAGGGGGCTACTCTGCATGATGCATTCACTGCGCAGGAAGCTTGGCTGCCGTCTGATTCAAGCCTGGTTTGCAAAGACAGCCCTGCAGCAGTGACCAGGGGACCCAAGCCAATGACTAGTGTTCTGCTTCTGCAAACATGGAAGCAGAGGAGGCAGGCTGCTAGGTTCTCAGCTGCCAGCTCCATATGCTTTGACCCGATGAGTGCTCTGCTAGCAGCAGATCCAGCTCCCAGGAAAGATGGGTGTCATGCAGAGAACTGGCGGCTAACATTTGAGGTGTGCACTCATGCACTCTTTGGGATCCTCCCAGAATCATCCGGAGACCATTCCAACTGGCTGAACTGGTGCCTACAGAGGGGTGGTCGACATCCTCGTCTGGGGACAAACGAGCCTATTCTGCACCCAGGATTCTCAGTCCCCATTCTGAATTCACAGCCAGCCAACCACAGGAACACACCTAAGCTGGTTAAGCCTTTGCACTTTCCAGAGATCGATTCTGGGGCTGGCTAAGTTGCAGGGCCAGAAATGCACAGAGCTCAGCCCACTGCCAAGAAAAGGCAACACTTAACAATTAGTGCTATAATTGTCATTGTTGTTGCTACCACCCGGCCCTCAGTGCCCTCAGCACCTCTAGTCATAAGGCATCTCCCTAAGGGGTGCTCTCAGCGTGCCTCTACCTTAATCATCCCAAGAAGGAAGGTCCCAAGCAGGGGACTCGGGGGTTGCTGCATGGCTTCAGAAACTAAGATCATTGTAACGATAACATCTAATATTTAGGTCTTGATGTGCACTAAGCTTTAGGAGAAGCACTTTACCCTGCATGTAATTCTCTCTGCAGACCCATGCCCATTATTCTAATTGGAGAAGAGAGGAAACGGGTGCCTGGGGAGTGGACTATCTTGCCCTGGGACATACCTAGTGAGACCAGGAGCCGGGATTTGGGGGCCCTGAGCAGCCTGACTCCAGAGTCCACTCCGCTAGACTGTCCCGTAAGGCGGGATGCACAATAGTACCAAAAGCAATCGGCCCTAACACTCCTCCCCCAAAGCCTGCCACGGAGCAAAAAGGTGGCACGTGAGGGTCAGGCTCTGAAGCTATTTCTGTTTTGAGAGTCACTAAGAACATCACAAGAACCCTTGTGACCCGACCCCCAGTTCACCCTTCGAGTTGCTCATTCCCGCAGTGAGTGCCCCTGAGTATCTCTGGCAAGCCCAAGATGGCACAGGTGACGTCAGCATCTCCAGGACAGGGCCCCCTCCACTAACGGGGCATGGGAAGCCCAAAGAGGCCAGGGGTTGCATCCTTACTATGCACCACTGCGTCTCTGCTGCGGAAACGGACTGAATGAATGCAAAACAAAGGAAACTATTCCACAGAAGCAGAGGATGAAAACAGGCCCTTAAAAAAAAAAAAAAAAAAAAAAAACAAGCACCTGTAGGTAACGATGCATATCCCATAATCTCATCTATGTGTTCATGTTGCAAAAAATAACGAGACGTTAGCAGTTTCAGGATTAGTGTTCTCTTACTCTATTTCCCTCAACAAGAAACAGGATCTGCTCTGCATTAGAATTATAGCAAGAACTGGCTCTTAGCAGGAACCATATGATTTTAATGCACAGATGAATTTCAATTAGACATTTACCTAACCATGCTGATGTGTTTTAAATTTAACCCTAAATTACAGACTTTTCAAATAACTCTGCTCTTCCCTCTGCTTCTCTCTCTTCAATTTTGGTTTGGTTTTGTGAAAGGTCTGCTGGTAAAAATGAAGCAATACCAGTAACTTATCTACAAATTACGGGAAGGAGAAAGTAGGTTAAAAAAGATCAAGAAACTTAAAACGAGCATGATCAAACCACATCCGAGTTAGGCAGGAAACAATAGGAGACTGTTCTTGCTCAGAGGGAAGGAAGGTGAATCTTACCAGGACTATTGTCAAGCAAGTCATAAATGGGGTTCACCTCCACTCTGCCCAAGTTTCAAGTGCAGTCATCCGAACACAACAAAGTTCGATTCTGCACCCAGGGAAAGGCGATACCCGGAAGCAGAAAGCTGACACTTTCACTTGGGCTGGCAATTCCTTCCACACTCAAAACAATCTCATTTTTGGTTCAGGCGTCCACTACAACAAGCAGTTGTGTGTCTATCACAATGGAGGCAGGAACTTCATCCCAAAAGGAGGCCGGTGGGAGAAAGAACAGATCTCCTAAGGCTCCCTCTCATTAGAGGGTTCAACCAAAGTGGGTATCCCAAGCTGAGCGGTCGCCAGGAACTTTGTGCAATTTGCTTTTGCTCAAATTGCAAACCCCAAGCGTTGAGGCCAGTATCCTGCTGTGACACTGTACTAGAGTTTTGTAAGATGTAACCACTAGAGGATGACCAGGGCAAGGGGTATGATTATTTCTCACAACTGCATGCCTATCAATCGCAATGAAAAAACCTGCAAGCCCCAGCACCCCAAAGATCTCTGCGTTCATCTCTTGGAATACCAAGTCGAACTTTGGCACTGAATGTCTTACAGGAAGACCTTCTGGGACAAAGCCTGAGCAGTGACCAAAGAAAGTCCAAAGGGACTCAGCACATTCCAGCTTGCTATTAATGTAAATGCCGTACGGGTCTGTAGAGGCTGCATGGGGAGGGAGCACGTCCGATGGCAAACACATGCCCCGTCTGATGGCGGGGGCCGCCTCGGAGAAGCTTGCTGCGGAAACATGCGTATAATGGGGACCAGACCTGCTGACTGTTCAACGCAATCCCGAAATCTGGAGTTATATGTGGAACTTCCTAAATGTTAAAGTTGGTCATTCATAAAATTATCTTTTAAATACTTCAAAGACCAAACCAAACAGTTCTGAGGGCTGGACTGGACCCGTCAGGTACCTGATGGACACTTTCGATATATTTCCCTCCCATCCTCACCAACAGCCCTCTGGAGTTGGACCTGCTCCGCCTGTTTTCTAAATGGGGTGAAACAATGTGCGTGAAGGGAGCTGGCAGGCCTCAGCAGCTCGGACCGGGAGGCCCCGTGGGTTCTGTGGAGTCAGCATGCCACCGCTTGCGTTCAGTCGGCAAGACAGAGTTTAAGAAAGTTGCAGAGAAATGTCTCCAGCTCCATAAACACCAAGTCAGTTCCACGTGTGCTCATCTATGGTGTCCTGGCACGGGCCCCGAGGGGAGCCCTTCCCGGTTCAGTATTCGTCACCCCTGTCGCCGCTAGGTTACATCCTCTCGCCAAAAGCTACTCCTTCCCTTCAGAGCACTTCTAAGACTTGTGATAGTACATTTGTTTGTCTATTTGATCAACATCAGTCTCTCCTACTGGGCTATAAAGCTCCAACAAGACAGACTATTTAGGATTTTGTATATCCACAGAGCTAACACAGTGCCTAATCTAAAGAAAGGGCTTAATAAACACTTGTTGAATGAATCAAAGAAGGGATAGGCCAGACAAGGGCCATGAAAGGGCCCCATTCAATTCAGCTGAACTAATGCCACCACCACCAAGGCCAGAAAGTTTCTGGGAACCTTTTCAGAGGCTCTATGACTCCCTTCAACAGCCAAAGGGGGCCCAGCCAAGCCGCCACACACCAGAAAAACCAGCAGGGCAGGGACTCCTGTCACTGCACTCCGGGCGGTCCTGGCCTTTCGCACTACAGGATCACACTCCACCCACCTGCTAGCTCAGGTATGGCAACAGAGTCGACTGCCCAAGGGCAAACCTAGCCCTGTTACCTTTGTGCCTATTGCCTGAGAAACCGGTTGCAGAGATAGTGCTCCCCAAACAGCCTTTGTGTGAGACACTGTGCTCATCTCAGATACATATGCCAAGCCCAAGCTGCAACAGATACAAGGAGACAAGGTGCCTGCCAGAGCTGCTTAAAGCTGCTGCAAGCAGAGGGAACCTGGGGCAAGGGCCTTCCAGGGTGCAGGTACGGTAAGGTCATAGGGACAGAGGCAGAAACACAGGGCATGCTGGGGGAAAAGCAAGCTGGACTGGTACCAAGGAAGCCTGGAGCTCAGGACACAGGAGCAGGATAGTAGGGAAGACAGGCAAGAGACACAGGGGCCAGGCTGGGAAAACCTGGGAAAGAAATCATAACACCAGTCTCGGGAGTCTTCCTTTAGCAGAGTGCAAAATGCACAAACGTGCACAAACTGTAGATGTGCTCTGTTTAGGCCACAGCTGGGTGATCGTTTAAAACTCGGGAGTGTTGGCATTCAAATGCAGATTTCCAGCTTCTCTGGAAACATGAGGAAACCAGGAACTACTGCACCCATATTCCTGCAGAACTGACAAAGGATGCATATGCTCTCCAATTTGCCACAGTCCCCACCCTTCCCTACTGTTCTCTCATGGGGGCCCACATCATGCATAGATGTTCTCTGTCCAGCCTCTGTAGGTATTTGTGCCTTAGACAAGTATCCCCTCATTCCGTCCCAGTAACAGTGTCTCACAGATACATAACCTGGGGCCCAGAGCGGTACGATTTCCTGTTCAATAACATACGATCAATCAGATCCACTCAGTACCCAACCCAGGTTTTCCTGGGTACACATTTCAAGACTCTGATTAGGTTCCTTGAATCCCAGACCAGCTTACACATCATCATTGCTGTAGAGGCAGAATGTTGCGGTTTCTGGTTTTAGAGAAACACACGCATGAGCAAACTGAGCAGCGGCTTCTTATCAAGGTCTAGGAACAGTCCCAACGCTAATGACTTACACAACTTCTCTGAACATCCTGTTCGGTCTTAGCGTACATCTCAGAAAGATCACCATTCAGAATGACTTCAGCTAACGAGTTCACCAGGGGTGCGTGATGTATAATTAGGAAGACCTGGTGAGAAAGAAGACATCGGATTTGCATTAAAGCCTGCAATCTCTCCACCTCTCCCTTTCTGGATCAGAAACAACTAGGTTGGGCTACTTAGGCCCTGTGTTGAGCAGCATTCCCCGTGAAGCAAAATCCAAAGAATGGGTCCCATTTAAGAGAAGCCAGTGATGCCTCTCTCCATCCAGGGTCGGCCCCTCCTTCATTCAGACTGTTGCCTATTTGGCTGGCTGCTCCCCAGCGGAAGGAAGTGCATTAAAGCAAGACTGTCCCTCATGGCTGGGGGAAGCCAAATCCGGCTGATGTGGAACAACGTGGGAAAGCAGCAGCCAAACCAGCACACTCCTTCCTCTCCACAGGCATTTTAGTGTCAAATTTGATTATGCTAAGACTGGAAGGCACCGACCCAGCATTTCAGTTATAGACGGAAAGAAGGGGCCGGCGAGTCTTGTTCTAATCAAGGACTTGGCAAAGGGTCGGCTACCCAGAGATTCCATCGCTGGAACGAGCTCTGACCCCCGCGGTGGGTTTCAGCACACCAAGATTTCATGGCAGCGATGGGAGGTGTGGACGCTGTGGGGAAGGAAGGCCACACGAGCCAGAGTCAGGCCTAGTTGTGCCAGCATGCAAAATCAGAAGGCACTGCGCTGTCTGGGATGGCCCTGCTACCCCACCCTGTTGCCCAATGCTCAGAAGAACAGCTTTGGGAATCAGAGTATTCAAAGCTGGCTCAGACACACCTGCTACTTTGTTTGAAAATATAAAGACAACGCCAGTGGTGTAGCACAGCTTGGGACATACCCACCATTTTTACAGAAAAAGGGTGTGTGTGCATATTTGCATTTGCTTACATACACATGGAACAGGATTTCTAAACCCTGGCGCTATTATGCGGCCATAATTCGTTATTGTGGGGGGCGGGGGGGCTGTCGTGTGCATTGTGGGATGTTTGGCAGCATCTCTGGCCTCTACCCAAACAAACATGTCTCCAGAGGTTGCCAAACATCCCGGGGTGGGGGCGGCAAAATCACCCCCAGTTAAGAACCCCCTGCAGGCAATGTCTCTGGAAGGGCACAGGAAAACCCTATAACTATACTTATCTCTGGGGACAGAAATCAGGCAATGAAGCAAAAGTAGAAAGGAAACTTGGTTTTCACCTGTTTGAACTTTTTAACTTAAAAAATTTATTAAAAACAAACATTGTTAAAAAAAAAAAAGAAGAAGAAGAAGAAAAGAAGAAGAAGAAGAAGAAGAAGCAGCAGCAGCAGCAGCAGCTGAGCCAGACACTGAAACACTTCTGCATCTGGGCAATGGCACCTGGTGCCTGGGGGACGGAAGTAAGAGGGAGACTTCTAGAACGACAGCATCCCCGGTCACACTAAATTAGCGTCATTAAGGTGAATTTTCTGGGTTTTATAGCTGTGCTAATTAAATAATTTGTAAGGGTGCTTTGACGGAGGGACAAAAAGATATGAGATTTCTACCTGATTTGAGGTTTTCACACATTTTGGGCATCAATATGAAAAAGCTAATTGAAAACGCAGGGGAGGATGGGCCCTGTGGCTCCAGCTGAGGATGCCAAATCACATGCTATGCTTTTTGTGAGATACTGAGACAAGTCATTTGGTGCTTGAGCTGCTAGTCCTTCTCTAAGAAAACAGGAGCAAAGGGGTTCTCAGAGAAGGGGCGTGGCCTGACCCCACACTCCTGAGAGGAGACTCTGCCCATGCAATGCTCCAACAGCTACAGGGTCCTGGGAGTGCTTTCCACGGGATTCCTGTGGCTGAGCATCTGGCTGCTCAGGTCCTGCCAGACTCCCAGAATCCCAAGCAGGAGGTTCGGGCAGATTTGTAATGAGGTGGCAGAAAAGGGTGCCAGGAGAGGCTGGGGTTTGCATGGAGCTCCGTCGCACAGAGGGGCATTCAGAAGGAGTGGGAACCGGTGCAGAACTCCAGGCAAACAGAGCCCCCAGCATAAGACTCTGAGGGGGGAGCAAGGAGCAGGCCGCGTGTGGACCCCGACTGGCTTAGCCACCAGGGGAGGCCGGGGCTGCGACTCTTCTCAGCCCTGCCTCAATCTCCAAATGGCCCAGGGACCAAGGGCAGAAGGCCTTGGTTCTCTCGGCAAAGCCAATAAATACCTGCGCCACTGCAGAAGTGGGAACAGAACTCTGGTCAAACGTTTGACTACTTGACAGTCTAATGAGATGGACTTAAAGTCTGGACTGCTTGTAATAAAAATATTTTTAAAGTTATGTAACTGGGTCACCATGGAGTTTTTCCCTTCTTGTAAATATTACATAATTACGAGAAGGAAACACACTTGTTTAAGGAGGGGGAGGCAGACAAACTGGCTCAAGACACAAATCTGGGAATGGAGGCTGCTACAAGATACCTTCCAGAAGGTAATCTGGGAACTACAACCACGACAAAAGTCTTTAAAAACAGCCTCATTAGTCGAAGTTTGTTAAACCAAGGCTGCTGCAGGGATATACACACATAGTGGGTCCTGCAGTTTGGGGCTTATTTCAAAATACCATGAATAAGACCCATGCCGTCCACATCTCCAGAGTATTTAGAACACTCCTTGGTTGTTTGAAAACCTCAGTCCCCATGGTAAAAACCAAGCACATAAGTGCCAGGTTTGATATACTTTTCATTTTTCTTTCAATTTCTACCCACTACCACGAATAAGATACCAGCCCCTCTACTCTGTGTCTGAAAAATAGAGATCCTCCCCTTCCTTTTATTGTTGTTTTACTTCAAGATGGGGGATCCTGCAGAAAGAAGACAGGGCGATGTGGCCTGGTCCTCCAAAGGACCCCCAAATGTGGCTGGGGAAGCAGGCAAATGATGAACCATACCTGCGACAGGAGATAGAGAGAAACCGGCAGGCTGATCTTCGGGCGTTCTCCTCCCTAGTGAGGGTTAAGGGAAAGAGACAGAAGTCCAGGTCACACACGTGAGCAGCACAAAATACATGAAGCCAAAAGCCACCTGTCTGAAGGCGAGGCAGCCTGTCCCCCACTTCCCCCACGCCCCCAAGGCTGTTCTTTCCTGGTACTAGTGAAAAGTCCACTCTGCAAAATAAATTCGCAATCTAATCCCATCCAATACCATTCTCCAGGCCTCTGTTTTTCCACCTGAGAAATCCTTCACCATTAGTCACGGATTAGAAGCTGGGTCCAAGAGAAGAACTAGCTCCTTAAATTACTAGGAATGTGAATTTCCCCCAGCTGGGGCACTGAGCCCACTGCCCCACAGGAGAGGCCTCTTCTCAGGAAGAGCTTTCAAAATGGGCCAAGGAAGGGTTGGGGCACTCTGGCCTTGGGAAAGTCCCTTGTTTGTACTGAACTTCAATGTGCTCCATCCTACATCAACCCTGTGAGGATCTTCAAGACCCTGCTTTGGTTCAGGTAGGTTAGCTGCCTTGGCCAAGGCCACAGAGTGAGGAAAGGGAAGAAGCAGAATTTGAACCCAGGTCTGAAAACTCCAAGGCCTGTGCTTTCTCTGCCTCCCCGAGCCGCCTCTGATAGATCTAGTTACAGCTGCAGTTTTCTTCTATTTACTGGTTTTTAGAAAGAATCTCCATGTTCCATCTCCAAAAAGAAAGCTACAACCCCCTGGGGCACATCCGCAGAGGCTGGAGCCCCTGCACAGTAACCAACTGGCTCCATCCTGCCTCCTGCTGAGGTCTCTGCCCCTTAACTCTGGGAAGGACTGGGCAGAAATTCTCACGATAGGATCTGAGAACGGCCAGCTCAAAGCCACCTGGGGGACAGGTTAAAGATGCAGACGGCAGGTCCACTACAGATCCATAGAGCCAGAACCTGAGACGGAGAGCAGGCCCCCGAGGATGTGCATTTCAATACCCACACAGGATTCTAAGCCTAACTGTGGACAGTCACTGCTCTGGGATCTTTTCCGAAGTGTGCTCCAACCCTTCCCATCCATTCTGTGCAAGTTCTGTGGCTGACTGGATCTTCTGCAAGTCAAGTCACTCTGGCGACTATCAGAAAAAGTTACCAGGAATGACAATAGCTCAAGCGTAGGATGCACAGAAACCAAAAACCTAAATTCATAGAGGTTTCCTGTTTCCTTCTGGTGTCCTGTTCTTTTCCCACTCACTTTTATAGCTGTCCCCCCAACACACACACACACTCTCCCTCTCAGCCTCCCCTCTTTCCACCTACCCCGCCTCCCCCAGGAAATAAAAGGAAAGGAAAAGAAAACCAGTGTGCTTTTGAAAGGCATCTCTCTCAGGCTCAAGCCCTGGTCCCTTGCAAAGCTTGGTCCTATTCAAGGGGACTGTCCTTCCCCCTTCTGAAGACTGCCTTCAGCCCACAGGTATGGTGGGGCCAGGCCCCCAGACCCACCTTGTCCTGGTTCTCCAGTGAGTACACGTAGAGGGGCAGGAAGAGCCTGTTGAGCAGATGGTCTGTGAGCACGTCATTGAGGAACTCACAGTTGATGATCAGGATGTCATTGAGATAGTGCAGGTGGTCCAGGTGCTCGGCCACCAGGTCACTCAGTTTCCCCCGATTCCGGTGTCTGCCAAGAAAAAGGACAGCCTTAGCCTGGAAGCCAAAGCACGGAGCCTTTGGGCCTTGGCCTGGGACTTGGGTCAGATGGAGTGTTTCATTCATACAACAAATATTCACACAACAAACAGGCTCAAGGGACACTTATACTGGCCCTACTGGTGGCATACACACAGGGAAAATGGGCAGGTATAACACAATCAATTGTAGGGGACTCCTGGGGTACCCCCCACCCTCTGGGGGCCTCACCACAACTCACCCACTACCACCACCACAGCCCAAAACAAAATGGGTAAATAAAGCAAAATCCAGCTCCCTTAGCAAGCCATTCCACAAGAGTAGCTGCTAGTCAATGTGGCAAGATCCCCTGCCTCCCAAGATAAGGAGTATTAATGGAGCAATAAATCCTTGCTAATTAAAATGCTCCAGAGGAGTACCAAAGAGAAAAGCAGTCCTCAGCAACCACATCCAACCCCCTGGCCCTGACCATATGGGGGCAAAGCGCAAGGAGGTGACACTCGACCCCAGGCCCAGAGGTCTCTGTCTCTTTCCAGTAAAGCAACAAGCATGCTTCTTGGGCCCCATGGGTCATCAGTCTTACACTTGCCAAGAACAGAACCCCAAAAACAGCTAGTGGCACACTTTCACTACCCCCAAAGTGGTATCTGTTGCAAGGAGCAATGTAGCTGTGGTAAGACATTTTGTTTGTATTATAATTATTACTCAAGTAATAGATGGTCATTTCAGAAGACGGGAAATTGAAGAAGAAAAAGCAAAAGACATCAAGGTCTCCTGTAGTCCAACCACTAAGAGATAACATTTTGGGACTTGTGACCCTACAGTCTGTTTTCCTATTCCCATTTCTATGTCCCCCTGTAATCACATCTAAATGCAAGTATTATGTATCTATCCATCTAACCATACGTGCCTTAAAAAAAAAAAAAGTAAAAATAGGATCAATGTTGTTTCTTTCACATAACTAATAATTCTTAGTGTACTCTAATAAGCTATTTAATGAATATACATAGCAAATACATGTTGTAAAAGCTAACAGTATGATGAGTTCCTATGAGCCCACCATCCAGCCGAGACTTACAACATTTATTCGCTATGTTTTGCAACCTTTTCCCCTATTTAGTAAGATACTGTGGGAATTTTTCTTCAGCAAGATAGTTAACACACTTTACTTTTTAAACCTTTAGTTTAAAAAAACATATGCAGATGGGTTTAAAAGTTAAAGGGTATTGATAAGCTGATAATAAAATACAGCAGCTCTGGCCCAGTCTCTCCAGAGAAGGCAGGTTTTAACTTTTGAATTGTTTCTGTGGATAGTGCCACCCACACCTCTAGAAAATCTTCAAGGTCGTCTATTTTGAGCCATTTTAGATATCGTGTAATGACCGCCTGGTATGACGGAACTCTTATCGTTCCCTCCGCCCCTCCCCCCAAGTCATCAACAAGTGGTGTTGACATCATCAGGACCATTCACCGTAGGGCCACACAGAGGATGAGGAGTCCACTTCCTTCCTGGAATAACTTTTTGCCTTTTCTGGAATCAAGTGCCACATTATGTGTCACATCCATAACTACTCATCTCCATAAATGTCCTGGTTTTCCCAAATGCCCTGTCGGATCTGCCACCCACCTATCCCCGCTTCTTTCCCAGTATTGGGGCTCATATTCCATGGCTTGAGCCCTGTCCCCCAGGAGACCTCCTTCCTGGATCCCCTTATCATCCCGAGCCGCCTAGGTGAGCCTCTCTCCAGGGCTCCACTAAGCTGTCAGTCTGGGGCAGTAGTTCTCCACAGACGGCGATTTTGCCTCAAAGGAGACATCTGGCAATGTCTGGGGACGTTTTTGGTTGAAACAACTGGAAAAGGGGCACTGCTGGAATCTCGTGGGTGGAGACCAGGGATGCTGCAAAACATCCTACACAGGATGGCCCCCCAGAACCCAGAATTCCCTAGTTCCAAAGATCAATAGTGCCGACTTGGAGGGATCTTGCTCTGGGACTTGTATTCATCATTCTGGGGCCCAAATCACCATCTTAATCTGTTGTGTTGTTTGTTTGTTTGTTTGTTTTTAACAGATTTACAGAGATATAATTCCCACACCATAAAATTCTCCCATTTCAAGTGTACAATTTAATGGTTGTTAGTACATTTGCAGAGTTGTCCAACTGTCCTCCTGATTCACTTTAGAACATTTTTAACCCCTCCTCCCAAAACAGCCCTATAATCCCATTTCCCCTCAACACACCCCCTGTTCCATCTTGGAAAACCACTAGTCTATGCTCAGTCTCTCCAGACCTGCCTGTTCTGGGCATATGATATCAGTGGGGTCATACAGAGTGTGATCCTTTACATCTGGCTTCCTTTACTGAGCATCATGCTCTCAAGGTCCAAGCATGGCATGCCATGTGTGAGCACTTCCTTTCCTTTTACTGCCCAGTATCATCCCACTGTATGCAAACGCCCCATTTTGTTTATCTGCTCACCAGGTGGCGGATCTTCTTACTCTTCCTACCAGCTGCCTGGCACCCCATATACGGGTGCGCTGATTTCAGTGACCCTCTTCCCTTCTAGGAGGTATGAGAGTTGTTTCTAACTTTCCGCAGTTATAAAAAGTGGAAGGTGGGTGGAACCTTTCCGAGGACAGAAGTCCACATTCGGCCAACACACAGGTGGGGAAGTTTCGTGCTAGTGTTTTATTTCCCCTCGATGAAAATGGAATTCTCCCCTAACTACTCTCTCTGCCTGGGAAACACCCGCGCCCAACTCCCCCCCACAAGGCGGTCACTTACTCCTCATCAGTCTGCACACAGTTATCAAGTTCGATCACATGGCTCCCGATGAACCAGACCAAATTGGAGAAGTAAGGAACGGCGGTTTTATCTCTGATATAGTGCAGCATGGCCTGGTTATCCACTGAGAAAATTCACAAAAGAAGAAGAAGGAAAAAAAGTCAAGCTACCAAAAATAACTGGGGGAGATTAAAAAAAAAAAAAAACCCACAATGAAAAAGCTCTCTGCTATAATCTGAACCTTTTCTGTCTTTCCTGGGAATACTAGAAAAATGGTTATCTTATTCATGAAACCATACACATCAAGGCAGTTCTTATGCTATTTTTATAGTTAATAAAATGAATTAATTGGGCTAAACATTAATAGTGCAATCAGAAAGGCTACTTCTCAGCAATGTATTTAGCTTAACTACAATGGAAACCATGCCATTATCAGGCAAGTTTCCTGTATATTACGTGTAAGGATAAGTTAAGAAAGCAGAAAACCAGAAGTTAATAACTTACATGACACTGGAATAAGGAACACAGGAATCGTCATTGAAGGAAAGGCAAAAAACAGACAACAGTTAACAGGGTTAGGAACTGGGATGGTGAGACAGTTGCTCAGAGGGACAGAGGGCCAGGGCAGGAGGCACCTAAAGATATGGGCTGGAAGAGAACAAGAGAGAGGAGAGAGCAGGGGCGGCAGAACTGGGGCTCAGACCAGGGCACAAACTCAGCAGCCTGCTGGGTGGGCTGGTGACTCAGTGAGTGAGGCTGGGAGACCCAGCCTGTGAACTAGGGAGCCCGAGCCTCAACCCCAGGGAGAGGCGCTGCTTCTCAGTGCCCGCTCACCACTGCCCTACAAGACTGTGGGCCCCGAGCAGCCAAGTCTCTACTTTCAAGTCAGAAACCCACAGAGTGACCCAAGATCTCCCCGTGTTTAAATACTGGCAACTATGTATCTTTTCAAGGAATACCTAAGCCAATCAAAACACGTCTGAGGGCTGGATCCAGCTCTCTGACCCTCCCTTTGGAACCCTGGGGGGGGGGGGGGGGGGGGGGCCCACCAGGCTCTTAGGCTCTTCAGTTTAGAGCAATCCCACAACAAGGCTGGAGTGAGTCCTTGAGGAGCTCCTCCCACCCCCAATTAGGGGTCATCTCAAGTAATAACATCATAACTCAAAACTCATGAAGGTCAAAGCCCTTTAGTCCTTGAGAATATGGAGTCCCAGCTCCAGTGTGGTGACTCCAGGGCGAATAACCCCAGTGTCAAGCAGAGAAGGCATGCCCTCAGGGGGGCAGTTCCAGGCGAGGGAACTTGCGTCCAGCCAGACTTTGTGCCAAGGCGGGCAAGGAACCCGTGGAAGGGCTTTCTCCCAGAGGCGACGTTTTGGGCATTAAGTACATCTTGACAAAAGGCTAATCTGTTGGACTTTGCAGTCCGTTGAGAATACAATGCTGCCCCCTGCTGTTCGTGACATCAAATGCTTCTACATTATTTAAAGATCCCATAACCCCAGGCTGTACTTAAGTACAGTTTACAGCCTGAAACACAAAAATGTAAATATAATATTCAAAAGACAACTCCGCTTTATCTAAGTATCACATGGCTGCTTGGAGTCCCACACGTGCCTGTCTTAGGACATTACTACTACTGTGTGTCCGTACGGAGACTTCAACATGTAGGACTAAGTGCACGCAAGGGAAGTGGCACAAAACTTCACGGAAGAGGCCTGTTAAATGTTCCATGACTACGAGCCTTTCATGAGACATGCAACCCCAGCTGTCATACATGAGCCCCCTGTCCCCACCGGAGAGCTGTGTATACAGACTCAAGAGAGCAAGCCCCAGCCGTCAGGTTAGAAATCAGACAAGGCCTGAGTGCCTAGGGAAGCTTACCTTTGTAGACGTTCAAAGTTATGGTTCTTACAGCAATTCTAACCATGCTTTCAGGGTGATTGAAAAACTTGATGGCTTCTGTGTACAGGGCAAAGTCATTAGTGTGCTAAAACAAAAGAAGTACCAAAAACGAGTTACAAACCCATAGGGCAGGCCTCCCCCCACCCAGCTTTCTGAATCCTACCAAATATCCATAAAAGTGGAAAAAACCATTATCCCCCATGAACCTTGAGCCAGTGGTTCATTCCCAGTGGGGAATGTGGGAAGGAATGGGGGAGGCGAGACAGTCCCAGAACAAATAAAAAAGGGTCTCGACAATGCCAGACCTGGGCTTGTGATGTGTCCTGCCACTTCGCAGCTGCGTGCTATAATATTCCTCAGCCTCTGTGCCTGCGCCTATAAAATGGGAATCACAACGCCCACTTCACAGATGCTAGGAGTCACTGAGGTGATTTCAGGGGCTGGAGCCTAGCACCGGACCTCCCACCTAACAAGCATCAGCAGTGAGGCCGGTTGTTACTCTCAGAGGCCACTTCAACTAATGAAAGGCAAGTGTGAAGTTTTATGGCATTCAGAATCTCTTCTGGCTAGGACACATTTCTCTACTTAGAAATACTAAAAATAAACACATTACCATGGAGGAGGAGGGGTTGGGGAATCTGCTGGCATTAAACAGATACCATCAGAAGGGATCAAAGCAGTTCCGAAGCAGAGAACTGCACTGCTGGGGCCTGGATCTGGGCCTAGAGCTGTGCGGGGCAAGCTCTGCTGCCCTCTCCTGGCCAGTGTCCCACATGGCTCTGCATCCCCGCTCCAAGGGCACCCGTGGGCAGTGAGGGCGTGGGGAAGAGGCAACAGCCGGCCTAGAGCACGGTGACAACTGTCTAATGGGGGCAATGCCACTTTGAGCACTAGACGTGTACCCTTGGCAAGTGGTAGCTACAGCACTGGCCGACATGCAAGAGGAAACTGAGCCCACCTCAAAAATAAGGCTGCTACAGCTCCCCTGGTGACCAGCAGGATGTTCTTCCAGAAGCATCGCTCTGGTCCCAGAATCGCAAGGTCCTATCCTCTCATCCTGGGGTACACAGCCCAGCTGCACCTGAGTGGAGCTACCTCTCTCTGGCCTGAATTTCATCCACCCGGGGAGTCTCTGGCACGATGCAAAGATCATCTACGTGTCTCTGGACATGGTGAACTAGCACCTACCATCTGCCAGATACTGGGCCACACGATGTTAATTTTTCAAACTGCCATACATTTTGTGGCTGTGGTTGACAACTAATGTTTCTTCCCTCTGAGACCAGTTCTTCCCCACTCCAGGCTGTTCTTGCTGCATCCCATGGGGACAGCTGGATGGATTTTGCCCACACTCTGAGGGTATGTTTGAGTGGACGGTCTGATTCTAGAGAGAAGCAGACAGAAGCAGACAGCACATGGCTGTGTGGTAGCCCACCTCCGGGACGGCCCAGTGACCATCAATACAGTGGCCTGTATTCATGTGCTATCATGCTCTCCATACTGGGTCAGGGCCCACCTGTGTGACCTGAATAACATGGTGGGAAAGATGGTGTGTCTCCTCTGAGGCTGGGTCACAAAAGGTACTGCAGCTCGTCTTGGTGTCTTGGGTCACTTGCTCTGGGGAAAGCCAGCTGCCATGCCATGAAGGCACTCAAGCAGCCACTGGAGAAGCCTATGGAACTGAGGCCTCCCGCCAAAGGCCAGCACTGACTGGTCTGCCGCAGGCGTGAGCCGCCTTGGAAGCAGATCCCCCGAACCCGATCCAGCCTTCACATCTAGCCTCATGAAAGACCAAGCAGAGCTGCCCTGCGAGGCTGCTCCCAAATTCCCGACACCCGCTGAGAGAGATGTGGCACGATTCTGACCAGGAAGACACAAGAGGAAGTCTCCTGGGGGGCTTCTGGGAAAGAAGTGTTTTTAGAAGTTAGAAAGGAACACAAGAAGGGAAGCGATCTCTTCAGGCTTTTCGGCAGTGGTGCATGAATATGTGATGTTTGGAGCTGCTGCAGCCATCCTGAGACCATGAGGGGTCAAGCCTGAGGACGGTTGCCAACTATATGATCAGCGGAGCAGACAGATGAAAAGAGCCTGCATCCTCAATGAAGCGGCCACAGGATGAACCAGACCAGGAGAGCCAGTATCGGTCCCTTTTACCAATGAGATAAACTGAGCTTCTCAAGTTCCTTTTCACCATGAAAACAGCAGCAACTTATTTACTAAAATTGCTAGTAATTCTCCCAAGGAATACCAGGGACGTTAGCTAGTGAAGGGCAGCAATGGCTGTGATTTTAAGGAGCCAGGTACGTACTAGGGGCTTTGAAGACATCATCTCATTTAATTCAACCCCTGGAAAATCCTGCCAGGTGTAGATTCTCATCCCCGTTCCCAGATGGGAAGACTGAGGCTCGGAGGACGGAGAAGTCTCTGAGGTCATGCAGCAGGGAAGTGGCAAAGCCAGGGCGAGCCACACTGCAGGCTTTTCCCACAGGGAAGCACAGCCCCGAGTTAACGTTCAGGCCCTTCTCCCTGCCGAGAAGGCAATGCTCTCGGGTAGCACAAACTGAATTTTACTTAAAAACAGAGAGGTGACTTATAAATTAAAAAAAAAAAAAAAACAAACCACCAACATTTTTTTTTTTTAAAGCAGGTCAAGGTCTGACAGTGTCGCTATGAACATCAGGTAAGGGTGAGCATGCAAGTGCTTTGTCAACAGATATGAGGCCACCCGGCCTGAAAGTGCTGTTCTGACCGGCTAGCTTTCCGCCCCAATGTACGTACCCCTCTGGCACTTACTTACCTCGTTGTAAAAGAAATGGACAGTGTGGTTGTTGAGTTTTAACGAAAGTGTTTTCAGGAACGATATATAATAGGCCATAATCTCCTCATCGGAAAAGTCAAACTTATGGACAATGATAGAATTTACATAGTTATTAGAGAGCAAATAATCTAGAGGGAGGAAAAAAAAAAACAGAACACAAAACAGATGGGTTAATTCGTGTCGGAGGAAAGCCAAGCAGACAAAGTCAGGTAACAGAGGACTCTGAATATGCTCGAACCCATCAAGCTTCTGGGTTGCTGGGGTTCAAAAGGGCAACAGGGAGCAACTTCACCTTTAGCCAACACAGAAATCAGGCAGCCGCTATGCGCAGCCTCCAGAAAGTACAAGAGCCATGAGAGAGAAAGGCCCGGGCTACCCCTCCCTCCTACACCAAATAGAAAAAACTTCTGAACATTTTTTTCCCTGCTGGCAAAGTTCAACATAGAGGTGGGGGTGGGGCAGATGTGCTGGTGTGTGGGCATTTTCACAAACCACCCACACATGAGGGGAAAAAGCACTGTATTTTATTAAAAGCTGCTCCATGTTGCCATCAAGAGTCACAGTGCCATCCCTGAATGTGACAAAGGGCTGTGTGGTTTTTTTCCTCCCCATAGAGCAACATGATTTCCTAAAAGCTACTTCATGCCAAATCCTCCACTCCACGCCCAGCACCAGGCTGAGTGCTTTACATTATCACCACAACAATCGGATCCGGCCCAGCAGGTCTTGTTCTCCCCATTTTGCTGAGAATTAAAAAAAAAAAAAAAAAAAAAAAAAAATTCAGAGAGGCTGATTAACTTTCCAGACGTCACAAAGACCGTCAGTCCCAGAGATGGAATTGGAAGTCAGGTCCTAGGTCAAAGTCTGTGTCAATGTCATGCACTAATGGGGATGAATAATGAAGGCTGGGTGGCAAGGGCCCGAAGCAGGGGGGTCAACTGCAGAACGGCCACCCTCGTCCAAACCCCCAGCCCCTGCAGAAATGGAGGCCCAGCACCAGGGGAGGCTCCAACTGTGTGAGGGAAGCTGGAAAACATCTGAAGGCTGCCTGTGACTCTGCAATGGTGGCCACAGGACCAGCTAGTTCTTCATGCTGGACTGGCAGGCAGAAATAGGTCTACAGGCCAGCTGCAGCCTGTGGGCCTGCAGTTCGCAACCCTGGCCTTGGGTCCTTGTCCAGGCAAGTCTCTGGGTCCTTCCCAGCCACCCTGCAAAGTAGGTGCTGCCATCCCACACTGTGTATCCTGTGGGCAGCCAGTCTGTGAGCGCTGCACCATCCCACCGCCACCCCCCAATAGTTAAAGGCATAATGGGATCAACACCCACACCTGCAGGCAGATGTGGTAAGGCAGTAAAGCTCAATGGCTGGGAACCTGGCTACTCAAAATCTGGTCCTCAGACCCCGCAGCCCAGCATCACCTGGAGCTCATCAGACACATGGAACCTTGGGCCCCAGCCCCGCCCACCGACTCAGATCTCTGGGGTGGACGAGGTACACTGGGCGTGTTAAGGGGCCCTGCTCGTATTTCAGAAGCCTTGCGTTTGAAGGGGACTTGGAGCCACATTGCCCCTGCCCCTTCTAGCTGGGTGACCCTGGGAAAGCCGCTTACCCTCCCTACTCTCCAGTTTCCTTGTCCAAAAACAGGAATAACAGTACCTTCCCCAGGGGTCGGCTGTGAGGATTAAAGCAGACGAAGCACTATGGACAGTGAGGGGCACAAAGCAAAAGCACGCAGTAATGGCAGCTACCACCATGTCTCTTAGCAGTATTACGTGGAGACCCCGGAGACCCCACTGACCCTCCAGCCACCAGGACCAAACACAGTTGGTCTTGGGAGAGAACGGGAAACAGACTGTTATTTCATGCCAAAGAGGTACCCAACCTAAACCAAAGTACGACTAGAAAGGCTGCCATCACCAGATGCACCCCAAAGAATCATCCAGGAGCCCGGGGCGGCAAGAGGGACCATGGCAGCGCCCACTGCTGGGTTCTTCTCAGAAGCCAGCTCTCCAGGAAAGCCACTGCCCTCAGAAAAGCATCCTGGGTGTTCTTGGCTTTAGAGACAGGCCCTGCAGTCTGTAGTCTTAGCACAGTTTTCTCTACCTCCTGACTCTAACAATTTCTGAGGCAAATCCTGAAGCTCCAAGACAGGAGGCAGTGGGTCTGGGCGGGGGGTCCTAAGAATCTTAATTGACTTGTTTAAAAATGACATTACACACATCATAACTCTTCAGTGTACAGCTCGATGTGTGTGGAAATTTACATACAGGTGAATCTTAAATCCAGGTGCCTATGTATTTATATGTATATATAGCATATAGACACACACACAGGGGTATATACATATACACACCACGAATCTCAGGTGTCCAGCTGGATGAATTTTTGCAAACATTATACACCACGTAAGGACCATCCAGATCAGCCAGAACATATCTCTAGCTCCGCAGAAGGCTCCCTGACAGCCCTGCACAGTCAACCCCCTCTCCCCAACAATAAGCCCTACTTTGACTTGAAGCACACAGACTCGTGTTGCCTGTTCTCGAGCTTCCTATCCATGGACCACATGACACGCACGCTTCTCGTGTTCTGGCCTGTCACCGGTCACCATATCTGAGAGGCATCCGAGTTGCCACACGCAGAGGCAAGAATCCACTCCTTTCCTCCATTTTGCCATGTAGTGCTCTATTCTGTGCACAGTCCACAACCTACCCACCTAGAATCTTAACTTGTAACAAGCAGCCCAGGTGATCCTGAGGCCTAGAGCCCTTCTTCCCCATTCTGTCCTGGCTGTGGCTGGAGATGAATGAGCTGGCAGGAGAACGGACTATGGAGATGTCACGGGAAGCCCCACCCTGACTGGCTGGCGGCTTCCAGGCCACCAGGGGCATGGACGCCGCTGCTGGCAGCTTCAGACATACAACCAAGAGCCTCTCGGCTGCACTCTTGAGCTGGAAAAGCCACATGCTCCCATCATTCCCCAGCAGGGACTTTTCCAGGGCCTCCACAGGATGACTCTGTGGGTGGTGAGGGCCACCGTGGAGGCAGCCGAGGTGCCTCTATTATTCGGCTGGGATTTTTCTACTACCCCCTCACTGGGTGGCCGACTTTCTGTGGTATCCTTTTCTCAACCCAGGAGTCTCTAAGTAATCTCAGTCTCTCGGGCCCTCTGTGACTTAGGTCACCGAACCCGACAGGCGATAGGTGCACTTGTGAAATGGCTGCTGGTAATAGTGAAAACCCGGAAAGCACCTCGATGACCGTGGGCAGGTTGACGAGCTCAGGGCTCAGCAAGACGCAGCTCCGGAGCCACACTAGGTGGGGGCACGTGAACGGGATGCATGAAGATCTGAGATACGGCAGGAAGTCGGGAAAACAGAAACAAATGGCAAAATGCTATGTGTCCACTGGACTGTGAGGGAGAGGCTCTGCGGAACTTTTGCTTTCTATATTCTTGTGCTGTTTGGTTTTTGGTGCTGTTGTTTCAGAATAAGGACGTTTCCTTCCTATGACTGGAAAATAAAAATGAGAGCCAAAGTCACGTGTCCTCCTCCCCCCCGCCCCCAATCGAAGTGCTGTAAAAGGTGGTGATGTCTGCCCCTTCTGCAGGGCTTATAAAAGCTCTCTGGTGAGTTCTTCCTAAAGACAGTGACGTCTGCCTGCGTTTCTCATAGAACAGCCCCCTTTTCAGTCCTAATTCAAGAAAAGCCATGTGATCCAGAAACTCCAGCATTTTCTACCATCCCAACTACCGTGGCTAGCTGGGCTTAGGCCGGGTTACCCGAGAATAGATAGACATTTGGGGGAATGCTGGATTTAATGATGAAAGCAGCTCCAGTGGACGCCTCCATCTGCCAGACCCCAGGCTCCATTTTGCACATCTGCTGTCACACTTAATCCTCAGACCACTCTATTCCCCAGATATGAGTATCCTCTCCACTTCACAGAAGCAGAAACCGCAGCGGGGAGCGGAGAGTCCACCCCCGGAGCCCACGCAAGGCCAAAGTGACAGAGCCGGGCCGGGACCTGGTGGGTCGCAGTCCGGAGCTTGCACCCCCGAGCCGGGTCTTCCCCGCTCGGAGTTTTCAGAAACCGCACACAATTCATATCCAGGGTAACAAAAGCTGTTAACACGGGAAACCACTTAGGGAGAGTGAGTCAACTCACATGCGTCAACTCATATTCATCGGGAAGTGTGAGCAGAGACTCCCAGGACAGCAGCACCACCTAGTGGCCGCTTCCCAGAGCCACCACGCACAGCCCTGCCTGGGCGAGCTCCCTGCCTCCTCTTGAGGGGGAATGCCACCATCTCTACCTCCTTCCACCCACCAGAAACTTTTTCTAAACCTGTCTTGGGACCTAGAGCCCACCTTTGACACAGACATTCAGCCACTTGTCTTCTCTTCCCAGCTTCTGGCAGGCAGGGCCTGGGGCCGGCTGTAGTTGTCTTAGGAGTAACAAAGCTAGAGGTCAAGCACGCAGGAAGAGAAGCTAAACCCGGTTTCTTGCCCTCGGCTCTGCTGACATTTTGGGCTAGATAATCCTTTACTGTGTGGGGCTGTCCTGTGTGCTGTTTGATGTTTAGCACCCCTGGGCTCTACCCACCAGATGCCAACAACACCCCAGCCCCCACCCATGACCACAACCGAGAATGTCCGCAGGCAATGACAAATGCCCTCCAGGGGCACAATCACCCCCAGCTGTGGACCCCTGAACTAACTCGGCTGGGCCGAAGTCCCTTCTGGATTCTGGCCTTGCTAGAGCTGTCACCACGGGTTGCCGACTGGAACTCCCTGGGCACTAAGTGAGGGCACGGCCCTCACAGGGCGGTTGCTTCAGATGTAGAGCCCAGGCTTAGTGAGGACAGAGAAGCAGCTCCGAGCCACACCCTTGCACACTCCTGGGCCATTCTTCCTCACTTTGCTGCTTCTAGCCCTTATTCCGTTGGCTGATGATTCAGTGACCCTGACAAGTTATAAAGAAAAAAATGGGAACAGCCCAAAATCACTGAGCAGAGGGGAGCCCTCTCAGCCCTTCATGGTACCACACCACACAGGGATAAACTTGGTGTTATGGACCGAACTGCATGATACCACCACTCACACCAGGAAGCCCTAACCCCCACTGTGACTACATAGACACAGATGCTTTAAGGAGGTAATTAAGGTTAAACAATGTCCTAGGGTGGGCCCCTGATAAAAAAAAAAAAAACTCGTGTCCTTCTAAGAGGAAGACACCAGAACTCTCTCTCTGCGTGTGTGCACACAAAAAGTAAGGCCACACCAGAAGCAACAAGAAGATGGTCATCTACAAACCAGGATGAACGGCCTCACCAGAAACTACCCCGGTGGCGCCTTGATCTTGGACTTCGAACCTCCAGAACTATGAGAAAATAGATCTCTGTGGTCTCAACCCCCAATCCAGGGCCTTCTGTTACAGCAGCCCGAGCACACAAAGACACACAGTTAAGCACAGACACGCAAAAGCAGCATGGAAACCACGCCAAGCTACGTGCTGCCAAAGCTCAGTGGTGAGGAGGCAAGTATCAAGGATCGTCCTTACAAAGTGAGGTCTCGTGACTGATATTCTCAAAGAGGATGTTCAACGTCTGCAGCAGCTGAACGCACACGTAGCGGCCCGACTTCTGCCGCAGGATGTTCAAGAAGAAAACAAACATGTTCTTCTCCAGGAAGAAGCTGGGGAGAGAATGGAAAAGCATCAGTGGTTTGCTTCTACACGTGGAAATACAAATCATCCACTGGCCACGTACACAGCACACGGGTGTGGACAGCCCCCGACCCCCAAAGGCATCTGCAGAGCAGCTGGATCACCCCGCCTGCAAGGCCCCGGCTTCCCCGCGGACGCCGTCCTCCACCACAGCAAAATGTGGCCTCTTGCGCTCTCTCCCCAGAATGTGAGCACAGCGCTGATCCTGGGAAGCAGAATGGGGAAGATCTTAATGCACTGTGATTACATAGTAATCTACCTGTGCTGAGAAACCTGCCAGGCAGCTTTTCCCATCTAACGCTCTCTATCCTTAGTTTTCCTTACTAGGCCTCTTTCCTTTGCTTTGGTATCTTTGCGTGTTAAACAGCACCACCTGGAATTCCCTACAAAGGGGCAAGATAATGCTAGTAAAAGAGTTTCCAAATCTGGGGGGGAAAGAACTAGAAGGGATTGAAGGGGCTGATGGGGGAGGGGGGACTACCCAGCCCCCAGGTCAGCTTCTGCCTTTCTTGTTCTAGACAGAACATCTGTCTACATGCAGCCTGGGGACATGGACTTTTGGGGGTACACGCTGGCTCTTTTAGTCTTACAATGGAGACAGGACCCCCTGATGCCTTTCTTGAAAGGCAGAAAATGGTGTTTTCTAGTTATGTGTCCTCCGTATGCAAGCTAAGACCAGGTAACTGCTCCTCTGGGTGATTCAGAACAGGTCCCTGCAGTCACAAGTGTCTGTCACTTGGTTCTGGGGGTCTCTCTCCCCTCGGCTGTCAGTTCCATGGTGGCAGGATCATGGGCCTGGCTCTTGCTCAGTGCTGCATAACTTCTGTTTGAATTCATGAAAAGGTAAACGAATAAGCAAACCAGAAAAACACGAAATCAAACCTTTTCCAATTCTGATTCTGGGAACCTGTCTGCCTACAAATGCCATGCACGTTGATCCCCAGAATATCTCTATCATTTGGCCTATTTTGTCTTCCTTTGCTTCAGGTTGAAGTCATCAGCATCCCCCGACAAGCTCACAGCAGCACCATGACCAACGTGGGAACTTGTTAAAATGTCTGTACCTAGACCTGGCCCAGGGACAGATTCTGCAGGTCTAGCATGAAATCCAGGAGCCTGGATTTTTAAAACTCCCTAGGGGAGGGAGGGGTTCCTTAGAAAAATGGCTAATTCTAGATCTGGGGCAAGGAAAATACAAGATGAGCCTGCAGCATCTTAGAGTACAGGGAAGTAAGGAAGTGCTCAAAAAAACCAGAAGGACGGGGTGTGTCAAGGGTCACGGGACCCAAACCCGAAAGAGCCCTCAGTTCCCAAAGCTGGACCTGGAGCAACACAAAAAATAACACGGTATTGGACCCAAAGTCTACTTTAATCCAATAATGCAGTATTGCGTTTTAATTAGTATTAATAACACAGCATTTAGTAACAGTACTGGATCCACAGTATACTTTAATCCAAAGTATATAATAAACATCCACGAGCCCATATTGATATAAATAAATCACTGAATAAATAAACGGGAAGAAGAGACAAGTCTTCCGTGCAGAAGAATTTCAAATAATGTATGTAGAAACTCACCCCCCACTTCCAGAAGCTGGAGCTAAATCCCCACGCCCCCAGGTGGGCTAAATGGAGCAACTCTCTTTCAGAGAACAGTGTAGGAAAAGGGGAGAAGAACAGCTTTATGGTAGAAAAACCTGGCTGACACCACCTTAAGCAAGCGATCAGATTAACCTCACCAGAGAGCAGGTGGGTATCTTGACTGCTGATATTGTGGGATGAGAAGCGCACTGTGGTCTTCTTCCCCATAACCCCCAGGCTAATCATGAGAAAGGCATCACAGAAACCCAGACGGGGGTAGAGGGCATTCTACAGGACCCTCGGCCAGTACTTCTCAAAGCCATCAAGGTCAGAACCAAGAATGAAAATTTGTCACAGCTCAGAGGAGGCTGGGTCAACATGACAACTAAATGCACTGTGGGAGCCTGGACTGTGTTCCTAGAGCAGCAAGGGGATCTTCATGAAAAAACTGGCAAAATCCAAATCGAGTCTGGAGTTTACTTAACACTAACGTACTAGGGTTAGCTTGTTTCCACAAATGCACCCCAGTCAGATAAGATATTAACAGTGGGGGAGACAGGGTGAGGGGTGTTTGGGAACTTTCTGTACCACCCTTGTGACTTTTCTATAAATCTAAGATTATTCTAAAATAAAGAAATGGATTAAAAATAAATTCTCCTGGGGAGCCATTTAGGAATCGCTGGGCCTCTAAGGGCTCAGCAGTTTTTCTGAGACAACAGATGGGCTCAGAAAGTCCACTCTAGTCAAGGGGGACACGGTTTCTAACCCTTAACCCAAAGGTCATTCACATTTCCAAGAGACACTAACCAACCGATTGATTCCCTGTGCATCCTCAAAGGGTGCCAGCCCCGTTTGCAGACAACACCTCCCCCTTTCCTCACATTCTCCTTTGGGGAAAAGGCCAGTGTCACAGGTTTGCATTTTCCACAAATAGTTTTATCTTAGGTAACCCTACTGATAAAAACAGAGAGCTATCTGGAAAATCAGAATATCTAAGAAGAAGCCAGGTTGGAAACGGAACACCTTTATTTGTTTTAAATGGGTTTTTTAAGTGGCCTCCGTACTTAGAGTTGAGAATATTTCATATAAAAATAAATCTGTGTTTGGTGGCTGTCATAAGCCAGATCCCTCTGCACTCAGACTCGGAGACAGGCCTACTGGGGAAGCTGCCCACAGCTTCCAGTCTTTGCTTTCTAACTGTCCAGGAGGGACATCCTTACAAATTATCATGTGGTAACAGTTCTTGAGTGCCTATTCTGTACCAGGCGCTGGGCAGGAACTTTCTCTCTAAAGATGAGGAGGGGCTCCTGGGCAGCTCACTCGGCTGGGCGTCCGACTCTTGATTCCCGCTCAGGTCATGATCTCAAGGTCATGAGACAGAGCCCTGCACTGGGGCTCCGTGCTGGGTGTGGAGTCTGCTTAAGACTCTCTGCCCCTCCCCCCCTTAAAAAAATGAGGAAACTGAGGCTGTCCATGAATGAGGAGAAGCCCCTTCGCCACTTACCAGCTGTGCGACCCTGAGCATAAATGGCGATGCTCAGGACAGGAGGGCCTCCACTCCGGGGGCAGCTGGGAGACTTAGATTATCTCATCAAGAGCTCAGCACTGTGCCTACCCAGCAGTAAACATAACAAAGATGAGCTCTTCGTGTCTCCCCAAGGCAAGGTCCCTTCATTTCACTTAGAAGCTAACTTCCCAGGACATTTTCTCCTTCCTTTGGGGAAATTGTCGGACACTATTTGGAAAATTGTCTATCAGGTTTCCAGATTTTTCGAGAGACACTCATTTCCCTGACGTTCCCACTGTCAGCTTACATTTCTCCAGTGTTTCAAGGTCATTTTATATAGATGGAGATAGACTGAGATCTGCACAAGACCCAAATGGGTGTCAAATCCTGACGTCACAGGAATGACTCATGGCATACATTCAGAAAAATATTCAAAGGAAGGAGAGTCCAAAAACAAAAAACATTGGGAAACCCTTACTCAAATACAGAGCTGTCATTCTGATCTCCCCAAATCAGGATCTCAGTGATGGAACGGATGGTCTCCACTAGCAGGTTCCGGTTCTGTTCTGTGACTGTGGTGTTTTTGGTCAAGACGTGGTATAGATACCTGACAGAAAGGAAAGAAAATGGCAGATTAAGAACTGAAATATATGCCAGGTTCAATGGGACAATCTGGCTGTGCTTTTTCAGATGTGGTTAGCCCAACTCCCATTCGGAGAAGCAACTCACCACCCAAGAAAAATGGCAGGCAATGCTGTGAAGTGTTAACCGGAAACATGCCAACCCAAACAGACGCAAGAGAATCATCGAGCTCTTGAAAATGGCCATCCTCAAGCTCCCGTGTGCACGAGAATGACCTGGAAAGCTGGATAAAGTGGGGCTATTGGAGCCCAGCTGGAGACTCAGAAGCAGCGGGACTCACGGGCCTTTTCACAGCCCCAGGTGATCCTGATGCTGTTGAAGCAAATGGAAGCCCATGGCCCAGGCTGAGCATCTAGCATAAAAACCCTCAGCCAGGCTGATGCAGAGCTTTAGAGCCAGAGCCCCAGATTAGGGATGGGAGGTCTCAAAGCCAGTCCCTTGGGCAAATATGGCGTACAATCAAGGCTATCCTTGGGGGGCACCTGGGTGGCTCAGTTAAGCGTCCAACTCTTGATTTCAGCTCAGGTCATGATCTCAGGGGTATGGGATCGAACCCCAAGTTGGGGCTCCCTGCTCAAGACGGAAAATGGCCCCCTCTCTGCTCCTCCCGGCTTGCATGCTCGCTGTCTCACTCTCTCTTACATAAAATCTTAAAAAAAAAAAAAAAAAAATGGGTACCTGGGTGGTGCAGTCAGTTAAGCATCTGACACTTGGTTTCAGCTCAGGTCATGATCTCAGGATTCTGAGACTGAGCCCCATGCCCGACTCTGCACTCAGCGTGGGGTCTGCTTAAGACTCTCTTCCCCTCTTTCTCCGCCCCCCCACCCCGTGCGTGCACGCTCTCTCTAAGTAAATAAATCATAAAAATGGAATTCCCACCAGAACTCACAGCTCAAATGAAGTGGGTGGCTTGTAGTTCAGGGCACTGACCTCATTTGCTGGGTACCTACTGTAGGGGGGGTCTGGGAGGCTATGGCCCTGAGCTTCACCTACCCAAGTGTTCCTGGAAGGCCTCTGCTGCCCCAGGCCTATGCCTGCCGCTGGGGTAGAGGCAGGTAGACCCAGTCCCCTCCTCAGGCCTCTACCGGTGGTCAGGACAACCGGAAGAATCACTGAGGCCAGTCCTGGGTGGTGTGGGGACTAGTGCCTCGCCAGATGCCCTGGGAGTGCCACCTGCACAGCTTTAAGAGCATCGTTGCAACGGGCAAGACTTCACTCTTTTCGAATGCTGAGTCATATTCCATTGTGTGGGCATATACATATATATGTATACCACATTTTCTTTACCCTTTCATCTAGCAACGGGCAGCTGAGCTCTTTTCCATAATCTGTCCATTGTTGATAACGCTGTCAACATCGGGGTGCATGTATCCCTTCCAAGAAGACCTGAAGATGCTGACACCCCTGCCTCCTGGCTCCCAAAGGCACTCCCCTCTCTCCCTCAGGGTTGTCCCTCAATTTTTTAAGATTTTATTTCTAAGTAATTTCTACACCCAACGTGGGGCTCAAACACAACCCTGAGGATCAAGAATCTCACACTCTACCACTGCGCCAGCCAGAAGCCCCCTCCCTTCGAGTTAGTATTTTTGTATCTGATGTGGATGGAGCTAGAGAATGTAACAAAGCAAAATAAGTCAATCAGAGAAAGACAAATACCATATGACCTCACTCTTATGTGGAATTTAAGAAACAAAACAAACGTGGGGGGGAAAAGGCAAACCAAGAAACACTCTTAACTACAGAGAACACACTGATGGTTACCAGAAGGGGGGGATGGGTGAAATAGGTGATGGGGATTAAGGGGGGCACTTGTTATGAGCACGATCACTAACTTGTACACCTGAAACTGATTACACTGTTGACTAAGTGGAATTTAAATAAAAACTTAAAAAAAATAAAATAGGATAAAAAGACAGCATGTCCAGGGCCCACAGACTGACGTCGGCTGTCATGGTTTGGGAAGAAAAGGGGGACACCAAGAGGGACCGACTCAAGAGGAGTCACCTTCTGACTTCTTTTATGGCTACTTCAGTGTGGCGGTGGGGCTGGTGAGAGCAAGACGGGAATAGACAGGATCCTACCACCGAAAATCCCCCAAAATGGGTAGGGTATAAAGAGGTAGAACCTTGCAGATAGAACAGTAAGGCCTAATCTGCTTTAGGGGGCTGGATTTTATTTAGTATTGTTGCTGTCTGTTATATTTTGAAGACAGTACAGTGCGTCACTTAATCACTGAATCAAAAGATTGCATGCAACTTCTAACACACAGGAGCTAGAACAGCTCTCCGAATACAGAAATCTCCACCACCTGGGCCCAAATCTACCAGCAGGGCTGCACGTGGGCGTGGGGGCCAGTTTCCCCCTGTGCGAAGAGGACTCCACAGCACTGAAGCACCCTGGATAAAATGCAGGAGGACCCACTCATGAATCTCTGCCTCCACCTCCCCTCCTATGCGTTTTTCCCCAAGAAGCTCAAAGAGTGGAGTTTTCCAAATTGTGCTTCAAGGGCCCCCTACATTAGAATCCCCGTTCGGTTGCAGATTCTAGCTCCCCACCCCAGACGCACCCACCGAAGCTGACTTATGGGCGCAAGGCCCCAAGTGTGCGTTCTGAACCAGCTCCCACTAAGGTTTCGGTGTTGCTGCATCACTCACCCCATGGCCACCAGTGACACTCGGCATGTGACCCACAGTATGCCCCCTACCCTGCTGGGGCAGGCATCGTGGGCAGCGTCAGGGGGAAGGGCAGATCCTCCCCACTCTGGCATTTCCCTCTGTGGAGATCATCCACAGCATCCCACTAACACACTCCTGGCCCAGGGGGAGAGGCAGTGGCTTTTATGGCTCCGAAGACGCCCAAGAGGGATAGGAGGGTTTAAAATCTTTAGGACCAGTCCTGACTTCTAACTCCTGGCATCTCTTGGTGAAGCCCTCTGTGTTGAGAAGCGGAGCTGGTGTGCTGTTAAGAATATGCACTTGAATGAACAGGCACCAGGCACCCACATGGGGGCAGCAAGTAGCACCCTGAGTACGGTCGCTCCCACACTGGAAGTGAAACCCACCGGGTCGTTTGACTGAAAGTGTAGTTTCATCACACCCATGCAAAGGAAGTAGAGTCACAAGATTTATTCCTTACAAATCCCAGAAGCTGGGGGCCAGGGGTCGTGCAATGAGCCAAAGGATGGGCAGTTCTCCGTCACGGGAGATGGTATGGGAGCAAGGCCTCAGAGAGCAGGGTAGCAAGCACCTGTTACTGTGAAGTTTCTGTTTTACCTTGCAGTTTGGCTTAGCAAACATCTGGAACTGATTTTTCTGTGTATGGTGTAAGATATTGGCTAAAATTTTTTCCATATGGAAATCTAGTTGACTCAGCGTCATTTACTGAAAAGGTCCTGGGTTCTCCAATGCACTCTAATGTCACCCCTGTCATTTATCAGATGACTGCATTTGTGGGAACTCTTTCTGAATGCCCTAGTTCCACTGATCTATTCATTTACCTTTGTGCTGATACCACGGTGTCTGATTATTGCAGCTTTACGATAAATCCTGCTATGTGATAATGGAAGTCCTCCAACTTTTTTCCCTTTGTTTTTTCATTATTGTATTGGCTATTCTTGGCCCTTTACATTTCCATATAAATTTTAAAATCACGTTCTCAACTTCCACAAAACTACTTGCTAAGATTTAAGATTGCCCTAAATCTCGGGGCGCCTGGGTGGCTCAGTCGTTAAGTGTCTGCCTTCGGCTCAGGTCATGATCCCAGGGTCCTGGGATCGAGCCACGCGTCGGGCTCCCTGCTCGGTGGGAAGCCTGCTTCTCCCTCTCCCACTCCCCCTGCTTGTGTTCCCTCTCTAGCTGGCTCTCTCTGTCAAATAAATAAAAGATTGCCCTAAATCTCTAGCTAAATATAGAGGGAACTTTACAATAAGGTAACATCATGACATTTACATTTCTCTCATTGTTGGCTGAATAGAGTCTGGCATATGTTAGATTTATTCATAGGTAACTGATGTTTTTTTGATGCTGTTGTAAACGGTAGCACCTGAAATACTCATTTTCTAAATGTCTGCTGTTGGTAGATGCAAATACCCACTACATCTCAACCTCCAAATTTCTATGATGATTGTACCAGCACCTTGCTCATCTTTTCACGCCCACTATATACCCTAGCACACGGTTTTAGGTAATGCGGAAGGAAGAAAGAGGCCTTCAACACATGTTTGCTTAAATGTATGGGGCGGGGGGGATAGCTGAATGGATTGAGGTTTAATATTTTAACGCTGCACCTAATTCCAGAGCTTTGGAAGATCAAGTAATTCAACTATCTAGAGATATCAATATAGCTTAATAACTTTCTGATTTTGAGCATAACACTCATTTTAGGAAGGCTGAATGCTTCAACAAAAGAGACCTGTCAATTAGGCCACTGCCCAGAGATGAGCACTGCTGGAATGTGATCTGTTTCCTTGGGTCTTTTCCTTTGCTGTGGATATTCATGTAGTTGGGCTCCTGCTGTAGATCCACTTCCCTGCCCATCTTTCCCACCCCCTCTTAAGGTAATAAAAGCATTTTTGTTATTGACAACCATTTCCAAGCATCTGTAATGGCTACACAGTTGACAGGACAAGCACAGCAGTTACTCTTCTGCTAGACATCAGGATTCCTCATTGTTTATAGATGATCAACGATGTTACCACCATGGCTGTCTTGGTGTGCAAGGCTCTGTCCCTATCTCAGATAAGTTTCCAAAGGCAAAAGGACAGAGTTTTCTCTCACAATGATCACTGGTACAATGAAAACATTTTCTCTCAAACTGTGTGTGCAGATTTTTATCAAAACAGCTGCAGCTAGGCTCTCTTGCGAGGCCCTCTTCTGAGCACTTCAGATGTATTCACTCATTAAACCCTTAAAATAAGCGGGGTTGATGCTCCGGGGAGCTGAGCCTCTGGGAGGCTAGGATCTGCCC